CTGCCTAATGGCGGAGAAATCCGTACCGCTTCAAGCATAAAGGCCTAACGTCACTCGCAGAAACTGACTCCAGGGACTTACAACTGGAGTCCAATTGGCCGCCCCTTTATACTGTAGGAGCGGCAGGTAAAGTTACGGCCAGGGAGGGTAAATATGAGCCAAAATAAAGAAAAAAACCACGCGAGATAAAAGCGGCGGCAATATTTTTATATACTCCCGCCAGGCGGCGGCGGCTCGCACCTTCTCCTGTGGCCGAGAGGTTAGAGCGCTAGCACTTGACGTCGCGGTGTGAAAGTCCCGGGTTCAAGTCGCGCCAGAACCTCTTTTTTTTTTTCTTGTATTTGACTGCACTCCAACTAAAAATGTAGACAAGGCCCTATGAGCTCTATAAAATCATTGGGCGGGTAGCTCTGACTCACCAGTTCGTTGTTCATGACCTCGGAAGAGCGCGTACATGTCTCTGGCTTTCTTTGCCAACTTCCCCCAGGCCTACTGCATCTGCCGTACACTCCGCGGAAAGTTGACAATATCTTCCCATGCCCGTCTCTTCGATCGCCAGATAACTCTGCTGCTGAATTTCTCTAGAATTCGTTGTTTCCGTTTTCCAACTACTCGAATTATTACTATGTGTTGATCCAAAGTCGTTTTAGGTGTTTGGGTTAGAGGTATGGTTTGCGATGTCGACCACTGATTCATTTTTACATTCGGTTGTGATCGTCTGCTATTCTAACTAAAATTTAGCAAGTAATGTGTTAATATTACAAAACGATTACCACAGCAAAATGTAAAGAGTAAAAATATACCTTTTATCACATTCCATGCAAGCAAAAGTATGATCTCTTTTATTAATACTTTCTCAGACGTTTGACTTGCTGCCTTGCCTGTAGGATTTCGCTCAATCGATGCATCCACAGTGGCTAGTCTTTATTACTTTTTGCTTATTTTATGGAAGTTTTCTTTTAATTGTCACAACTGCAGTTTCTAGTTGTACTAAATACGAGCCTCCTGTTATCGAAAGGAGTAGTAGCAAGATCGTTGTATATTTAAAAACACATAAACTTATAGTTACTGGGGAAAGGATGCTTGTTTCGGCTCCGTTTGTGTGAAAGCCATACCGATGCGGTTACCTTGCTTTCCTTTTTAATGAACATTATGAAACGATTGTATTAGCGCGTTAACTTGCCTTGATTTTTTTTTCTTCCTGATGTTTCGATTGAACAGGTGGGACTAACAGTAAAAACTGTGTAAGGCGGAGTAGTGCGAGTGGATGATTCGTAAAAAGGATCACAGTAAAAAAATGAGACAGCGCAAAATAAAAAAAGGACTGCCCAGCGTGATTTGAACCCGGAACTTTCACGCCGCGTTGACAAGTACCGGCGCTCTAGCCTCTCGACCACAGCAGGAGGCTTTTTTTTTTTCTTTTGAAACTGTTTATTTACATATTTATATACACAAAAACAGTATAATACACTATGTACAAATCATCAAAGCGAAAAAAATCACGTAAAATATTAGGGATGCCGCGAACTTTTTTCGAATCGAAGTTTCGATGATCGAATCAAGCGGTTCGAAAGGTTCGAAAGATTTCGATTTTTCGAATTGTCTATATCGTGAAATTCGACTGAGGTCGAATTTTCGAACTTGTTAAGCTAAGAAGTTCGACGCTTTTCGAACCGTCGAACTTATTACGCTAAAAAATTCGATCGTTTTCGAACTTTCGAACTTATTGCGCTGCAAGGTTCGATGCTTGTCGAACTTTCGAACTTGACTGACCAAAAAGTTCGATAAATTTCGAACTTTCGAACTTATTTATCAAGAAAATTCGAAAAGGTTCGAACTTTCGAATTCTGAAAAGTCAGAAGCTCGACGAACTTCGAACATAGGGTAAAAGTTCGACGTTCGTCGAACTTCGAAAGACCGGCGGACGGTTTCATTTGATTTCAAGTAGTGGGGTACATTCGTAATTTTTTTTCTCGAACTTTTACACGCGGTGCTGCGTTCCTTACGAAAGACAATGTCATTTATTTCAATGTTCTGGCATGCTTAGGTTTAAAAAAATAAATCCCCGAAGGGGCGAGGACGGACGCCGGGTTTTTGACGATTATCGTTTGTGCCAGATTTGAAGCACGCTGCAGCCGGAGCTATTTGTGGTAGATATGTTATACTTTTTTTTAAGAATGATCTATGTATAGCGTAGGTAAGTGCCGTCTTAAGATGTGATTATTGTTATTCAACGTGAGTTTCGAAGAAATGTCCAAACATGTATCTGCATGCAATTATGACCTAAACTTGATATTTATTTTTGTCTAAGTTGTTTGAGGTATCGCATTGAAATTAACACCACAGGCAGTACATATCATTGCCATCTGCAGAATACAAAATAATATATTTATTGTTTTTTCACGTTAAGGAATAAATTAACTCATGGCAGCAGACTTCTAGTAGTGTTTAAGTTCAGCACGTCATTAAAAGAAAACTTTTTTTTTTTTCGCTTCACGTTCCTGGGACGTGTTTCTTTTAGCCTGTACACATTTTGGTAAAAGAAACTTGTTTCGAAGTTCTGAACCTCTGAATATGCAAGAATAGAACACTTCCGACGAATTCTTGATAGTTTTTTTTTTCTCCTGCTTTTTATTCCCGCATTTATACTTTTTTTTTTCTTTTGTTACTATCGGCACAGGTGTTTAGGTCGAAAAGACAGCTTTGAACGTCCGAACCACTAAGCATGTGACGAGCAGTGCCTTCTGACAACGCGTTTCTAACAATGACCATCTACGCAACCTTTTATGCAGTGAAGAGCGACAGTAGCTATACATATGCATAAATAATTTCAGATTAAAATAAGCTCGACCACGCCCTCTTTCCCCGTATTGTTTTCTTTAACAGTCCGAAATACCTGCAAGGGGAAAAAAGAAGCTGAAGCCCCCCCCCCCCCCCCCCCCCCCCCCACCTCCCGCTACCCTCTTTCCCCCCGTTTTTCCTCTTCCGACGCCACTTGTATGGTAGAACGCTCATCGACCTCGAGTTGTGTCGCCTTTTGTGCTTTTTGCGAGGCGATTCCTCCGTCCCAGAAAATAAACCTCCAGTACAATTATGAACTTCACCGGATCGGATTACTACCAGCGTGCAAGGGGTGGCGAGCTAGTTTGCCAGGTCGCTTCAAGGTTTCTCTGAGCCTCAACCTCCTGCTCGCCCCTGGCCGTTTCGAACTGGATGAGTCTCGTAAAACAGTGTGTTCGTGCAATCACTACTGCGTGATAAAGACCCCCCCCGGGGGGCTGGCGGTCACAATTCTGCACTGGCAAATATTCTAGCACGTCCGGGACACTCGTCGTCTCATTTAATTGCCTTACCAACTTCGCAGAATCTAGATATCACACCCTAACTTTTCTAAACTTGATTTTGTGAAAACAAGTGAGTCGTGAAAACGTTATTTGAAACTGAAACTGTGGAAAAACTTGAAAATCGGACTTCGAACTTTGAAAACTTGGATTAGAAAAAAATTCGAAATCTTCAAAGTTTTTTTGTTTTTTTTTTTAATTTAGCGTTAAAAGAGAATCGAAACTTTCGAACTTTTCGAACTTTATGCCAAAAGAAATTCGAAATCTTCGAATTGTTCGAACTTCATGTCTATAAAAATTCGAAGCGTTCGAAGTTTTCGAATTTTTTTTACAAAGAATTTCGAAATCTTCGAATTTATCGAACCTGAAGTAAAAAAATATTCGAAATATTCGAATTTGAAATTTTAGAAACCGTGAAAGCTTCGAAATTTTCGAATTCGAAACTCCGCTGTGGACAAAAGTTGCGAATTTTTCAAAATCGAACCTCGGTCGGTACGAAAATATCGAAATTTTTCGAAATCGAACCTCAGTTCGCTTCGCAAATATCGAAACCTTTCGAAATCGAACCTAAGGTGGTTCGCGACATCCCTATAAAATATGCCTCAACATTCTTCTCTCTCCGGACGTTTGTAGTAAACATCTTTAGAGAGCAAATATTGCAGCTCAGTACGAATTGCGCAAGATTTTAGCAGAAACTACATCTATCTTTCTCGGCGCAGTTCTGTCGTTAAGTCCATGACTACGTATACAACTCTTTGTATTTCCATAAAAAAATTATATGATGTTTGGTGAACGACTGATACTTGCTACGATTTCTTTCCATTCCTCGTCCTCGGAGCGTGCCAACAAGCTCTGACCAACAAATATAGAGATGCTCTTGAAGTTTACCCAGGAAGGTTTAGCGACACCTCCATCCGTGTCCACTTTCCGTGTTTTCCATAGGCTATATAAACCAAGTACCACAAGTGTGTCAAGGGCCGTATCTAGACGGTCTCCGAAATGCAGGTAACGAAAGTTACTCTCCTCAACTTTAAATTCCTTTTGACTGTTCTTTTGAAAACGTCCCAAAAAAATACAGCATCAACACATAGTACGAATGCATGAGTGAATGATTCGGTGGTGTTACACAATCTGCAGTTAGTGCTCCGAAATACATCGAATCCCCGGGATTCACGCCACTCTTTCACCGGTATCGTTCGGGAGTGAAAGCGGAAAAAGAACGACTTGCACTTTGGTGGTATAGGCATACGTTTCACTCTTTTTAAAACATCCGTAGTACAATTTAAAGGATCATTGAAAGGACTCAAGCGATATAGTGGTTCAGGGAATAGAGAACTAAGTAGACATTTCTGCAATTTCTTTTTGGAGCACGACTCCAAGGAAGCGCTTGTGAAACGTGCTCCCAAAAATTCAATGGTGTCTGCGACCTCTTTATAAAAGCCGCGTAAACGGATTGCGAAATTCGATGGAATTCCAGATACCTGTGCCTGCGTATACTTTGGTAAAAAATATTCTTTGCACGCTTCTAGGAACGGGTGTTGGGGAGTTTTAAAAAATTTCCATCTCGCGATTAGCTGTCGCACAAAGATGTGACCGAGGCCTAGACCATCATCTTCCGTTCGTCGAAAGAGGTTAGATCTGCGCATAGGCTCGTACGAAGAATTCCAAATAAATGTCGCAAAAACTCTATTGAACTCATTAACTGTAATTCTAGAACAATGCATAACCTGTAGAAGGTATGTTAGCCTTGACAAAAGGAAGATATTGCATACGGCAACCCTCCCAAGTGTAGAAAGGTATCGTTGGCTCCACATACACTCTCAGGAAAAAAGGGTGTCAAAAGGTGTATTGTTACACCCTTTGTCCCATATAATGCACCCCCAAACTTCAATTCGACTTACAGCGCCCTACAGTCAAACAGACGGCCCGAAATTTTACGATGGGCTTGATAGCCGTGTGGTACAACATTTTCAATAGCTAAAGTACGTATCAAACACCACATGAAGAAAACACCGAGTTTTTACAGTACGGCCAACAAAACCCCGATTATTTTTTCTGTAGTCAATAAAACGTACATTAGCTATTTTAATAAGTTGTACCACACGGCTATCAAGCCCCTCGCAAAATTTAGGGCCGTCTGTTCGACTGTAGGGCGCAGTACGTCCAATTGAAGTTTGGGGTGTATTATATGGGACAAAGGGTGTAACGATACACCTTTTGACACCCTTTTTTCTTGAGAGTGTACGTACAGCTGACTTCACCTTTGTGCCTACAGAATCCCACATAGACTTTGGATTGTCCATCGCACTGAGTGGCACCCCTAAAAGCTGCGGTTTGTTTCTAGACCATTCAATGTCCACGTACTTGGCTGGTGTTGATCCCCACTCCCCGCACCACGATCCACTACTTTTAGCCTTATTCACAGAAGCACCAGACACATGGCAGTAGTCTTCGACATGTGACATAGCTGTCACTATGCTTGGTTTGTTGGAGCAAATGAGGGCCAGGTCGTCTGCGTACGCCAGGAGTTTCACTTCGCTGGCATGAAGTTGAAAACCTTGTATCTTTGTGTCGTTGATGATGACCCTGCAGAGTGGCTCTAAGTAGATATTAAAAAGTAGCGGTGACATTGGGCAGCCTTGGCGTACTGAGCGTAAAACGGGGATAGATTTTGAAAGAGACCCATTTATAATTAACTTAGTCGATATGCTATTGTAGCAAAGTGTAATGCCCTTTTCAAGAGTTTCGCCGACCCGTATGTGCTTCAACAGGGCAAAAAGAAATGAGTGTTCTACTCTATCGAAAGCTTTTTCGAGATCAAGCTGTAAAATGGCAGCTGCTTCTTGTGTGCGTTGGCATATCTCTAGCATTGATCGAACAATGTGGAGGTTTGTCTGTATATTTCTTCCTCTTATTGAACATGTTTGGTGATCTCCTATGACTTGGGTTATGACAGTTTGGAGTCTCCCTGCGATTAATCGAGCCAGGATTTTGTAGTCAGTATTGAGAAGGCTGATAGGTCTATAGCCTTCAAATTTTTTAAGCTTGTTAGGGTCTTTCGATTTAGGAATTAGTATTGTATGAGCCTTACGAAACGACAGCGGTAAGTTACCCATGGTGTAAGATTCTTCAAAAACGTTGCAAAGTATGGGGGCTAATTTTTCTTTCCTCTTCTTGTAGAAGCTAGCAGGCAATCCATCTGGACCAGGAGCTTTGTGACTTTTCATTTCAGAGATGTTTTGCATAATTTCTTGTACATCCAGGGGTGAATTAAGTTTTTCCGTTGTGTCGTTTTCTAAGCAGGGTAGTGTTGATATTATCCCTCGCAGACGTGGATGAGGTGCCTTAGTGCCTGTTGCAAAAAGATTGGTGTAATGCGAGACAAAAGCCTGGTGAATATCACTTTCATTCTTCAGTTCCTGGCCGTTCAGTATTAGCAATGACACCGACTTTTTCTTCACATACTCTCGTTCGGCATGTAGGTACCTCTTCGTAGGCTGTTCTCCTTCAATTAGTTGTAGAGTGCGTGTCCTCACAGCCGCACCTTCATAGCGCTTCTTGTCGTGTTCTTCTATTTGCTTCTTTATATTTTTTATTTCATTCTTGTACATCCCTGGCTCTTGACATTCGAGATTATATAAGTACAAGAGATCGTTATTTAGTCGTCTTTCTTCAGTTTTTTCGCAGTACCTTTTTATCGAAGATATCTCGATAGCTACTTCTCGAATTTTAATCTTAAACAATTCCCACTTTTGACACCACCCAGTTTTGATGAATCCAAAGTCAGTTATAAGGCTTTCTGCGGCTGTTTGAAAAGCATCGTTTTCTAACAGGCTTTCGTTCATCTTCCAGCATTCCCATGATTGCGGCTTTTCCTTTATTCGTTTTCGGTTCGATCCTACACTAACCATGACCATACAATGATCTGTGAAATATGCAGGAATTACTTTATAATCACTAAATGAACTACTAGCCGAACCAGACACAAAGATACGGTCCAAACGCGCATGCGACGATCCCTGGAAGTGCGTATACTGAAGAACAGGAGGCGCGAGCCGCCTGCGCTGGCGGAGGTATATAAATATACTGCCACCGCTTTTATCTCGCGTGTTTTTTTCTTTCTTTTGGCTCATATTTACCCTTCCTGGCCGTAACGTTACCTGCCGCTCCTACAGTATAAAGGGGCGGCCAATTGGACCCCAGTTAAAAGTTCCTCCATTCAGTTTCTGCAAGCGAAATTAGGTTTTTGTGGTTGAAGCGATACGGATTTCTCCGCCATTAGGCAGGGACGCTAGGTACTTCCTTGTCCCCGTGAAGCTGGTCACGTGACAGAAAAATCCCTCTTGGCCGCCGCCGCGCCCGCGGCCGCAAGATGAGCAAACCGGCCCTGGGCAATGGCATATTGCCTATTCCCTTATCGGGCTCCGTGGTGGGCGGTGCATCCAGGCAATTAATTTTCTTCCCATTTATGATGGGTTCAGAAGAACCCCTTGATCGGCATCTGAAAATAGGTCGCAGCGAAGTCATTGACATAACCACAAAGTCCACTGATCTTTTCAAATTCGCGAAGTTTTTGTTCTACCCTCTGAGGGCGAAAAGTCACCAGCTAAACTTTATCCTTTTGGTGTCCAAAATGCTCGAAGGTGTTGTCGGTGTAAACTCCAGCGCCAAAAAGATGGCATCAGGCGACCTCCTAATTGAGATAAATACAGGGAAGCAAAGTTAATCATTTCTAGCCCTGAACTCCGTTTCAGTGCAACCCCTCACTGAAAGCTAAACACTAGCCAGGTGTCATCTCTAAAGATGAGTTGCTCAATAGATACAGAGCTAGTTGAGATCTCTCCGGGCATGGATTTGTTGCAGCACGACGCATCACCACCCGCCGCGATGGCGTAGAACGATAAGCAAAGCATGTTATTTTGACCTTCGACTCTACGACTCTTCCAACTGGAGTAAAGGCAGGCTACCTTCACTGCCGTGTCCGGCCTCATGTGCCGAACCCTCAGTGCTGTTTGAAGTGCCAAAGGCTGGCCGTCGGTCGCGGAACTGTCGGGGTAGTGACACCTGCGCCAAGTGCTCTACTAAGGGGCATGTCGCTGATGTGTGTGAAAATTAAGCCCAGTGCGCCAATTGTAACGGTAAGCATCCAGCATACTCCCGATATTGCCCCTTATGGTAACAAGAAAAATAAATACTAACCTTGAAGGTTACTGAAAACATTTATTACATTAACGCAAAGAAGCGCTTCGCCTTTGTTTCCAGAGGCTCTTATGCTCAGGCCGTATGCAGGCGACCGGGACGCCAATGGTTTCGACTGGAACACAGATTTCTCTGGACGATCTGCGTCCCTCATCGCGGTCCTCTTTTGTGTACTTGGGAGTGGTGCAGCGCTTTCGAATCGCAACATAGATGCTGCCTTCCCAAGCAGCACCTTGTGAATGGGCCATCGCTGGCAAGTGTACTATGGCCAACCAGATTTTCGATGGCCGAAGCTTGGCCAAAGTGCTCGGCAATAGAAGTGTTTTCGTCCTCGTCTGGTGACTTGCCATTCACTTTATGCCAGTCGCTGGCCATTCACTTTAGGCCAGTGACTTGCCATTCACCTTTGGCCAGTCACTTTCGGCGAGCCACTGGCCATTCACGTTTGGCCAGCCACTAGCCATTGACTTCCGGCCAGTCACTGGCAGAAAGTGGCTGTAGTTATACACTTATTACATAATTTATCACAGACTGCCAGAACATTTGGGTGTTCCTCAGAAGACTGTCAAGAGTTTCGGGAGATCAAGTTTGAGAACTCAACCCCAGAAACTTTTACATAGTAATGACAATGACACGCGAAGCTGCTGCAAGGCTGCTCAATATTTATTGGACTTTTTGAGTACTAAGTCTTACGACGCTGGTTGCGACCACCATTCCAGTCGTCGTGGGTTCAGGGATGGTATGTTGTCCCACCATTAAGATCCCCCGGTAGTGCAGCAGTAAAAAAAAATAAAAAAAAGTAACTTTAGGTGAAGGGACAGTGCAACAATAGAGAGTTTTAGTAGATCGTTCCGATACCTCCGATAGCCCCGATAACGATACAATGCATGCGCAAGGGAGGCGGTGGCGGAGTATCGGGTATCGTTATCGGAGTCATGGGAGCGATCTACTAAAACTCTCTACTGTTCAGTTACAATATTTTTCACTTTACACAAGCTTACTGGCACTAATGGGAAAGAGAAGCCTTGAGTACACGGTAAAAGTTTTTACACACATAAGGGGGTAAATCAGTTTGTCCCTGGGCTAACACCCTTATGGCGTTCAGGCAAGCACCCCTCATAAAGGGTGCTTGCTAACACCCTTGGTAAAGGGTGCTTGGCATGAAATGGGCACCTGCTGGGGTGGCCCAGTGGATGCTGGGCCACCCCAGCCAATCTGGCGCCGGGAGGGTATCATGCGACGTTTTGGTTATGTGGAGTACAAGGTCACATGACGCTCTTTCGACGCTGGATTGGTTGGTAGCGTCCGCCGCGCTCGGACGAAGGGTGAAATGAAGTATAGACCCCAGTGAGCATTTCAATGGAATGTGTCCAATACACATATCATAACTTGTAAATTGTACAAAAATCATATATGGTATTGCATATTCTTATATTATTATTACATGATTTACAGCTTATCATGTTTACTGAACACATTTACACTTTTTTCACTTAGAGGGATTGCCACATCACCACATACGAGGCATGTGATAAAGAAATAACGAGTCACACTAAACACAACTCACTTCATGAAGTAATACAAAAGAGCTCCTTGCAAGCCACATTATAACCCTGTGGGCAATTGGGAAGTGCTACGGCACCCCCCTTTCTCGAACTCTAAGTGAGCAAGCAGTGGCCCCAAGCATCGCACTGCACGGCTGAACTATTGTGAACATCGTGGTCTGCCACAAACGAAGCATGTAAAGCTTTCCTGTTTGGAGATCAAGTGACATGATTTGTTTGTCTCAGAGGATTGCAGGCAACCCACGCTTCGCTTATCACTTGTCTCCTACGCGCATCTGGCTCAACACACAAATCGCGCATTGTACCAAACGGTCCAAGAAGACGGAAAGGGACTCCCCTCATTCTGGGACCCTCGTTCGTGCAACCGGAAACAGCCATTCTCCCCCTAGAAGATTAGCCCGTCGCTCAAAACTCGAACAAAAGTTGCTTTCCCCACCCCGTTCAGCCCTAAGCTGACAGTGTTGTGGAAGCTACGTGCTCCTTGGGCCAGCCCACGTGGGCTGCCACACGCTCGTCACGCCACGGGTACTTCGAACGGCTCGGTTGTAACGCGCTGACGCTATTGACACCACCACAACGCTGCCAGCGCCACCAAGGGCAAAGCTGATAACCACGCCTGCCTTGCTACGCCACGAACGCGGGGAATCTTTTCTGCTTTTGTTTGCGCCGGATATCCCATGACGCATCGCGCTCTCCGTTCGCTTCTCTTCGAGCGCTTGCTCGAGTGCACCGTTTGGAACGCAAAATATAGCCTGTCGTTCAAAATACAAACGTGTGATTATCATTTACGGTTATTATCCCTCATACTTGATTCACTTCCGAACGAAATTTGAATATTTCAATTTTTGTTTCCGTACCCCTTTAAAGAACACAACTGTGATGATGATTTAAGGAATGATGATGATGAAATAATTTTGACTAAAGGGAGTGACCACAAGGGTATACTGAAAGAATCACTAACAATGATGAAACCTAGAAATCTATTAGTGCCTTCCCTGTGTTTTGCCATTGAGTGGAAGAAGTTTATTGGCCTATATTTTTGTTAGAAACAGGTGTGATGCGTCCCTCTGTTTTTTTGTTTTTTTTTTAATCTTGATGTTGTGCATATTTTTTATTTCCTAGGTTGAAAGCTCAAGGCATTCCCTGTTTGTTCAATCACATTTACCCCAATGTTAGTAGGTTGCTTTTTTATGTTTACTGTCCTTGGGTATGTCAGGGGTTGTGAACAGTAAAACGCTGTAAGGCCCAGGAAGGAATTCCCTTTGTAAAGTGGTGGCCAGCAGAAGAGAAATTTTAAAGACTGACTTCATGTCGTCTCCTGCGTTTTCTTTTTTGGGTCGCCTATTCATTTTTGCCCATTAATACTCAGCTGTGTTTGATACTTCTCTGCGTTTGTGTCATCCTTCAGAGGACCCGTCTTTAATAAATTGTGTTTAGCCTGTTTAGCTAGCTTGCACCCACCTTTTTGTTTTTGCCCATTAATAAATGACTGTAGGATTCAACTGCAAGCACGGTGTTAATGCATACCAATAAATATCAGCATACTTTTATTGACTAGTGCTGATGATTGCAGTTATGTGATTGGCCTAAGCCATTTTGGAGCACCTTTTGGAGCAGCCAAAACAGTGTTTTGGAGCAGCAAAAGTGGCCTTTGGAGCAACCAAAACAGTGTTTTGGAGCAGCAAAAGTGGCTTTTGGAGCAGCCAAGATAGTGTTTCGGAGCAGCAACAGTGGCTTTTGGAGCTGATATTCTTAGAAAAATAAAAATATTCGTTTTAAGTGCTGTAGAGACAAAAAGCACTTTGTGTTGTGTTGTGTTCTGATGCGACGTGTTGTAGCGGAAGTCG